GAGTTCGGGACCTTCATTGAGCGCAATTGAAGTTTGGGTCCGAAATTGCGAATTTGGTGTAAGTTCGGGTCCTTATGTCATATTTTTGCCTATTTTTATCACTCTAAAACAAACTGCTTCACCAAGATTGATAGGCTTTTTGTTTATGATGTTATGAGTCATGCCATTAAATCCATGGATTGTTTTTTCTTTAATCTTTCGTGCCTGGATGCATTGGGCAATTGTGGAAACATATAGTGTAGCCACAGCTGTGCTTGCACTGCTTGCAGATGCTCCTTGCAAACTGAAGTAGTTAGACGTTACTTTTGTAATTTATTTTCATATCGGTTGCTAGCTGGGTTTACAAATGAAGAAAGGCATTCTTTTGGAACAAACTTCATATCTCGGGGATTTGTGGATACCTTTAGAAAGCAACATCCTGACGTTGTTGGCTATACTTACTGGGGTTATCGACATGATGACTGCAAAACTAATAGAGGTATATGACATTCCACATCCAACGTTTTCTTCCGCTTCCAGTTCCTATTCTTATTCATTTGAAAGGTTATCCATCCCAATTTAGTTGAATAGTATGATTTAGTCATTGTTTTTGAAGCAGGTTGGCGGCTAGACTACTTCCTTGTCTCAGAATCTGTTGCTGACAAGGTTTACGATTCATACATTCTTCCTGATGTTACTGGTAGTGATCATTGCCCTATTGGCCTTATACTGACACCTTAGTTAAACCGTCAGTATTTTAGCCATTGTTCAGACTACCAGATGGATTGTCAACCCAAAAAACCAACTTCCAAAAAACTTGATGGTGTGGACAGTTGGAAAAAGCAGATTTAAGTGACCATTTTGCTGCCCTAATCCCAGTGAGAAAAACTGCTTCATAGCCTAACTTATGCCGCCAGCTCTGGTTTTCTTTCCCCTATGAACAAATATATCAAATATTTTGCAAGGTCATCTCGCATATGGGAAGGGGGTACGACTTAAATTTCCAGAGATTTCACTGAAATTTTAATTAGTCAGTGTTTGTACAGTTTTTTTTTTTTTTTTAAATATCTGATTATGAACTATACAAGAGAGGGTAACTCTCTTTTATTCCCAAATCTTTTCTCACCGACTCAAAGCTAGAATTTTGTGAGAAGGTATGGGTTATACATGATTTCCTATGCCACTGCTCCCTAATCTGAATCAGAACAAGCAAAGCGGGGAAAAACATGGCGAAAGAGCTAGATAGATTCAATTTCGAGGAGAGGCATGGGAAATAGCAGGTCAGAGTGGCTAGGGTTTGGTAGGGACAAAACGGACG